ATGTGAATCTCTCTCGCTCTCTATCATGGAGTAGATCTACGATTATTGGCAGGTGGATCCACATATATCAAGGGACCTAGGACTGATCTAAGTGAAGCAACTCCCTCTAGATTTCATCTATCTTCTTCTCTCCAAGTTTTGTGGTGGTTGTGTTCATAAAATGTCTTACCTTCATTCACAGATTTTGTTGTGGTTGAAGCAATGAAGGTGAGACTAGGTAGTATGGTCGAGTGCAATTGAACCAGTGCCTAGTTAGGAGTTTGGATAGGTCCTTTACTCCATCTTCAAAATAAAGTTCTTAAACTTCACTACATTCATGCTATTGTGGTGTTGGTTTCCATAAATTACCTAAAACTTGCAATCATATTTAACAACCAATGTTTCTATGATTTTGGAAATAATATGACTAAATTAGAACAAGAACACGCACATGCCAAACGTGTGCAAGGGAAAAAATCCGAGAAAACAAGATGCATTTTTAGTGGAATCAACCACTAACGAGTGGTTCAAGCATTAGTCATTTGTATGTTATACATGTCCCCTTGGTCGACATACCAGTGATGGGAAAGATGTTACCCACACCCTACCTCTAGTGACGGGTTGCATTGTGGCCATCACTAGTGATTGGTCATGAGAGGGTGTTTCTGCAGTAGTGAATATTTCATTCCTAGAAGCCCCCTTTAATCATTAATAAATTGATGTTGTCATTTAAGATTTCTCCATTTATCAATGTCCGAGTCTAATGACATTAGCTGAGATTTTTTTGAAGAAATGCAATAATATTGTCAAGGTGTATTTTAATGAGTTTCTTGAGTAGAACATATAACAGGTAGCGGCTAGATGTTGTTTGCATAAACGCCATATGAACTTGGTATCGTTACTCATATGGATAATAATTTGTGCAGTTAGAACTCATTTACTATTATTTGTTATATTTTATTTACATGAAAATGGCGTTTTTTATGAAAATGACATTTTCTTCAAGAATGAGGTAGAGTAAAGCCCCTAAGACAATTTTGTTTTACGGAAAATAAGATCCCAAATTTGCACATGTTAGGTCTGGAAACTAGGTGTTTGGGTCTACATCTTATGAGAATGATGTTTACTTTGTGTAGTTGCTTTCCATACATGTACAATGATAATATCTGATTGACATTACAATATAGATGAATGCATTTGATTAAATACAAGATAAACATGGAATCATGTGCTTTATATAGATAGTAAGTTTCGCAACAAACAAGTCGGTTGGATTGCATAGAATGCAATAAGAAATCAACTTCTTCCTCGAGTGACAATAGTTGGTACAGCATGAGGGGAATCTATTAGGTACAAAACAAGGGAAGTTAACGAAGATGTCTCACATCATAGGATAAGTCTGCATGGCATGTACTTGGATTGCAAACCAATATAGAAAATAGTGTAAGTGAAGGCCTCCTTTCACAATTTTTTGAGAGTCTGTTGGTTTAGGTTATCATGTTTAGTGCTGGTAGAATATAACATGTCACTTTGTCATCTACCTTAGAGACTCTTGGATAAATGAATCTAAACCCATGATTGATCAAAGATAAGAGCTCATAGACATTGACCTAAGATTTGAGCCCTAGTAGCAGACCTAGTTGAGAAATGGTGAAATTTAATGCCTCTCAAGTCTCGTTATCAATGTAAAAGCTTATAAATTTGTACAAATAATAATGATAAAAGTATCACAACAAACATGATAGTTCCAGAGAATCACGAATCAAATGTTTGGTTCAAAAGTCATCAATTTCTAAATTCCTGCATCAGGTACCTACAAGAGCGAAGTCATAAATAATGGACATGTCAAAATGACATAATGCAATATTCCAAGATTCCATTTTTGCATAATTGCATAAATGATATTTCCATATAACACAATGGTGAATGTGCTTGTCTTCCTGGAATGTGTATGCACTATGCATCCCGCAAGTATAAAATATTCCAAGCATACATTTCCAGCGCATGAAAAGAATTAGTCAGAAAAAGGAAAATATAATTCTGAAAGTATTGTTAGCTATAACTATGAACTTATAATTGATTAACTACCCATGATTTACATGGCAAATCATGTTATGGAGAGTGGCTTGAAGCCATGGATATGTATGTTGAAGAACAATACAATTGAGATCTAGAGGAAGTGAAGAAGCCATTTATGTAGCTACCAAAGAGCATAATGTTCGTATCATTGGATATTTACAAGAATTTAAAATATTTTCCAATGATAAAGGCAATATTTTGGTGAAGGTTGTAGAATTGGATATTTAAAACTGGTTTGAAGATAGAGATATATCGACAAATTTCTCTCCGCCAGAGAGAGAGAATTTCTAATATTAAACACTACCTAGGACAAGAATATCACCACCACCCACGGTCAGGAGATATGTGCTAGGCGAGAGCAAATAGAGTGAGGGATAAAATAGTCATATAAGTGGCAAGAGAGGGCTCCACACCCTGCCGCCTAGTGACCATATAGCTAGACCGACCCACCCACCCCTCTATCTCATTCTCTCCACCCACCGTGCTCTCTCTCGGTCTCTCTCTCTTTCCCTCATGTTATCTCCTCCTATCCCCGATCTGAAGCCAAATTGAGATCTAGATCGGAGCTTGCCACTAGCGCCTCACCCACGCCGGTGTTAGACGCCATACACCACCCCTTTGCCCACCAGGCCTGCCTCTCCTCGCCTTCAAGCTCTAGCCCCCCTTGCTACCCAACCGACGTGCCACCAGGCTCCATGCCGGCCACAACCTCCCACCTCCTTCCCCATGATAGTTGAATTTGGCCTCCCTAACCGATGACCTTACATCTTCCTCGGATCGGCGCTCCTCTCTTGTGTGGGATCCAGAGGATCCACCCACGATGGACGGTGTTGCTCGTGTGGGTCACCGGCATTGACCCTCATTTTTTGTTCAGTCATGATGGTGACTGAATCCACCTCCACGACCATGACCAGATCCACCTCAGGTAACCAGGAGATAGCAAGGGAGAGCTCCATGTCGACCATGTCGTGTACCACCATGGCCGTGATCGCTAGATCCATCGCCGTACACCACCTCCTCATCGATGGCCATGCGTGATGGACGTGGTGGTCGACGAGGGAGTCATCCACAGTCGCGCATGTCTCATCACCGGTCTTCTTCCTCGATGACCTCCACCTCGTCCTCCTACTTGTTGGTGCTCCTGGCAGTGAGGACGAACTCCACCTTGTCCTCCTCTACCCCGACCCGTACACGCAGTCATCTGTCGGCCCTGTGGTATCCTATCTCTCTCTCTCTCCCTCACTCTCTCCTTGATTGTGGAGGATTGTTTTTATGTTTGCATGTGATCAGATGGATCTGACACACAACCATCTTGGAATGAATTCAGATTTGGCACTTAACCTATGTAGAGCACTAAGTGGTATCTCTATAATTGTGATCATATTTACATGCTACAAAGTGCGCACTTTAACTAATGCACTTTATTATTAAGAACTTAGTAAATTTATAGAACTTTTGATTTTGAAAGTGCGCACTTTTGATTTAAATAGACACATATATCCTATGAAAGTGCGCACTTTCAAATTTTTTATACACCGATCCTGTGAAAGTGCGCACTTTTGAAATCTCAATACTCAGATCCTATTAAAGTGCTCACTTTTGAATTGTTCATACACAGATCCTGTGAAAGTGTGCATTATTGAATTTATCATACACACAGCTTATGAAAGTGCGTGTTTTAATTGTTCATGCATAGATCCTATGAAGTTGAATATCCTTTTAGTTTGAATTTAGCACATTTCTATATTTTTGCCACTTTTTTGAGTTGGGGTAATTTGTTACTTGGTCGTACTTTGGCACTTTGCCACACTTTCTAATATGAGATTTTTGGCACTTTGTAGTATGAAAATTTTGGCACTTTTTAATTATCTATCTCTTTATCATATTTGGACATTTTGTAATTTGAGATGTTTGATACTTACTAATAAAATTGGAACATTGTATATCATATTGGCACTTTTAATTATTTCCTATTAGTTGATTAACCATTGTTTTTATTAATAACTGATGCTCTAACTAATAGTTAATTATCTGTTTAAATATGTTAGTATTTGAATTTGAATTCACACAAGTTGTACATCTCTCCCTTCAAAAGGAAATCTATCACACTTGAGTACGCATTGAAATAAGTGTGCACAGTCTACAGGGCGTGCAATTTGTTCAAAGAGGAGGGAGAGAAGACTTGACAGAATAATGGAATGGAAAAGTGGGTTGTAATTATTGCACAGATCACGAAGCAGAAATAGACGACATAGATAGCCTCTCCGAGGGTATTTCTTGATGGCATTACTATTTCATTAGAAATAGTAGTTTGGACACATGGTGCAACCATAAGGAAGTTAATATACTAACTTTCAAAGTTGAGATCATAAACTAACATTACTTGTTTAGGAAGACGTGTGCTATCTTGTATCATCATAGATGATGCTTTTTTGTGTCCAACAAAAGAAGGTGTGTTGGAAAATTATATTAAAACTGATGCAAAATCAAATATAGAAATAAAGATCCTAGAAGATCTCTTTAATTATTAGACACATGTTTATCTCATATCTCATAGATATTGTATGAATATCAGTGAATAAATTCTAGATCTTCTTGATAATGTCATAATTAATATTAGATGACGCCATTAACGCGAAATTGTATTAACACATAGGGCAAGATCAAATTCCACATTGAGAGATCCTAGAATATCTCGTTAATTATTAGACAAATTTATATCTGATATCTCTTAGACGTTCCATAAATACAATTATTAAAATCTAGATATTCTAGATTTTGTAATCATTCAATATTACATGAGGCCATGCATGGCTATAGTTCTGTAAGAACCTTATATATAGATATCTACCTATGCAATAATCCTCATAAGCTTCAAGCACTATCATAGCATAAGCGTCTCTCTTCTCCATAGCTTCAAATTGTCGATCTTGCTAGTAGTCATGGATCCTAATGGCTCCTACCCCAACAAAGTTACATCTGGTGAGAATGATGCCTACATTTCCCCCTTGCATGAAGCATTGAGAGGCACGAGAGCCATGCCAGTGTTAAATGATATTTTGGCCTTTGAGTCACTACCATCAGATTCACCTTCCATGGCGAACTCCTCATCTGCACCCGATGCACCACCTGAACCTACCATGATGCTAGTCAATGATAGTTCCATGATGCCACACCATGAGAATGTAGGTCTAGCACCACTCCCACCACAATTGTCTGATACAATTATTAATCCTTTATCCATGGTTAATACCATAGTGTCCCAACCCAACAATGAGGAAATCCATCAAGATGAACATGAAATGTTCAGGCATGAAGACTTCCTTTCAAACCCTTTGTGGAATTACGCTGACTCCTATCATCATACACATACCTCGTCCATGGAGTCTCCATCATTCACATCCTTACTCCAAACAGATCCAAATTCTATTGTTCATACCCACCTTAACACTAATGGAGCAATGGAGGATGGTTCAATCTATGACATGCCCGCCATACATGTCTCTGAGGTAAACTCACTACCATATGGATTTCATTGTTCTCTTGAAAATATTGACCCATTTACACCGAATACTATATTGCAACAACAGAACATACAAGATGGAAGGCTACTATATGATGCTTCTTATGGTGTACCTGCCCCTATTTCTCCATTCATGGCAACCTCACATGTACCAAGAGAATATAACACCCCTCTAGTTGGTCCAAATGGCATTTCTGATAGTGCTATTTTGCATGATTCTACATCCTTGGGTAATTACACATGCAAGATTTGCGGTCGCAAATTCAACACATCTCAAGCCTACGGTGGTCACATGAGTTCCCATGCCAAAGAAAGGAAGAAACACCTACAAAGTTGATCTTCCCATATGTACTTGGACATCCCATGATTACCATTCTCGGGACAAATATTTCTACTAGCACCAAAATGGTTGAAGACCGAGAGCTTCTAGCTCAAGTGGAGAAATTTTAATAGATTTTATTTGTTTTTGGAAACAAAAATATCAATGGAGTAACATAAGAGTGAGAATATGTTGTGAGGGTGTGAAACAATTAATAGAACTATCTTTGTTTGAATGGTATGTGTTGTTGTTTCCATGTTTAACTAATAGATTCATCTTTAATGGTCGTGTACCATGTTATTCTCTTCCATATTAATATATGAAGGAACCAAGATTTTTAATGAAGATTTTCTAGAGCTAGGTAAGATGTATGTTTCCTAACATTTTTCATAAACTTCTTCAAAGTAGAATAATATTTTCCAAATAATGTGCCATATAAAATGCTAAACCATCTAAACCATTTTGCTTAACGAGTAGTATCATCTAGGGGTGGGCATAAAAACCGACGAACTGAAAACCGAACAAACTAAATTTTCGGTTTTTTTACTGTTACAGAAAAATTAGTTTTCCTGTCCACTAACCGAACAAAATTCGGTAGGTTCGGTTTGCATCTCGGTTAACCAAACAAAAACAAAACGAACGTGACTGATTGTACTGTACAGCACAAAAGCAGGCGTAGGCGTGCAACGTTGTCTCCCAGGAGTCACACGCCCAACCGCCCACAATCGCCCATGAATGCATCATGCACGCATCTCACATAATGTGGGCCTGCCTGACCATTCAAGTGCCTACAAGGATAAGGCCTACTTGACGTGGGCTTTTTGTGAACGGTGTGCCCGCACATGCGAATAGCTGACCACACCATTTCGCTGCTCTAGTCCCACCTCGCCCGACTGAGGAGATTAGCCAGATTTTTTGCCTATATAAGATGGTGCAGCTAGTGCAATCGGAGCATAGATACTTGAAGCGTGGTCATTCCGTATAAAACCAAAAACCGAACCGAATATACGGTTAACCAAATTTTCGGTTAACTAATCTCAACTACCATTTTTGGTTTTTAGTTTGTCTAACCGAATTTTCAAAAAAAAAACGAATGGTAGAAACTGATTTTTCGGTTTATACAGAACACCCAGCCCTACTATCATCATTGTCAAAAGTCTAGCTATGACATGGGTGCTCAATTGTGATTACCACCCAGGGATTAAAATACTCTAAACAATTTTTTCTTTGAACTAGCACATAAATTTCACATCGCTACACATAGACAATATCTTGTTCATTGATGAAAAAAGGAACATTATGCTTAACAACATTTTTTATCATTCAAATCCCTAAGGAGCCTACGTAAACAAATACGTACCCGATTACTTATTGTGAAACCATAGGAGAAACAAGCTATGAGTAAGTGTTATTTTATGTTGGCAGGGTGGTTTGTAGGTCATTGGTTATGTGAACAATCACCACACTATTCATTCTTCCAGAAAATGTTAGCAATGATTTTTCTTTTATGTTGCTTCTTTTCTATATATGTACTAAGAAAAAACATCTCACCTTAGGTTGCTTGTGTTTAATTTTTTGTATAAGAAATAGAAAAATTCTAAGGTGAGTGTTCTCAATCCAAACGCAAAGGACTCACAACCTTAACACAAGTATTTCTCAAATTCACAACTACTCACTAGCATGACTCTAATATCACAATAATTATATCTCAAAACAATCATAAGGAATCAAACGTTTCATTGTATTCAATGCACTTTATATGAAAGTTTTTATTATATCCCTCTTGGATGCCTATCATATTAGGACTAAATTTATAACCAAAGAAAATTACCATGCTGTTTAAAGACTGTCAAAATAATATAAGTGAAGCATGAGAGTTCATCAATTTCTATAAAAATATATAAGTGAAGCACTAGAACAAAATTGCCTTCCTCAAAAGATATAAGTGAAGCGCATAAAGTATTCTAATAAATCATGATTCATGCGTGTCTCGCTCAAAAGGTGTGTGCAACAAGGATAATTGTGGCAAACTAAAAAGCAAAGACTCAAATCACACAAGATGCTCCAAGCAAAACACATATCATGTGGCGAATAAAAATATAACCTCAAGTAAAGTTACCCATAGACGAAGACGAAAGAGCGGATGCCTTCCGGGCATCCCCGTGCTTAGGCTCTTGGTTGTCCTTGCATATTACCTTGGGGTTCCTTGGGCATCCCCAAGCTTAGGCTCTTGACACTCCTTATTCCATAGTCCATCAAATATTTACCCAAAACTTGAAAACTTCACAACACAAAACTCAACAGAAAATCTTATAAGCTCCGTTAGTATAAGAAAATAATTCACCACTTTTGGTACTGTTGTGAACTTATTCTTTATTTACATTGGTGTAATATATACTGTATTCAGCTTTTCCATGGTCCATACCCCCCGATACTACCCATAGATTCATCAAAATAAGCAAACAACGCATAGAAAATAGAATCTGTCAAAAACAGAGCAGTATGTACCAATATGTAACTCACGAATACTTATGTAACTCAAAAAATTCTGACAAATTATGACAACCTATGAAATTTGTTTGTTAATCTACAACAAAAGGAATCAGTATTTTATTGCTCTTTTGCAAAAAATTAAAATTAATTTTCTGGGCTCAAAAGTTTCTGTTTTCAGCAAGATCAAATCAACTATCACCATAAGCTATCCCAAAGGCCTTACTTGGCACAAACACTAATTAAAACACAAAAACCACATCTAACCAGAGGCTAGATAAATTATTTAAAGCAAAACAGGACCTAGAAAGCGCGAAAAAATAAAATTGGGTTGCCTCGCAACAAGCGCTATTGTTTAACGCCCTTAGCTAGGCATAAAAACACGAATAGATCTAGGTATTGTCATCTTTGGTATGCAATCCATAAGTGGCTCTCATAGTAGATTCATATGGCAATTTAATTTTCTTTCTTGAAAAGTGTTCCATGCCCTTCCTTAACGGAAATTGAAATCTAATATTTGCTTCTTTCATATCAATAATTGCACCAATCGTTCTAAGAAAGGTCTACCAAGAATAATAGGACATGTAGGATTCAATCTATATCAAGAACAATGAAATCTACGGGCACATAATTCCTATTTGTAACAATAAGAACATCATTGATCCTTCCCATAGGTTTCTTAATAGTGGAATCTGCAAGATGCAAATTTAAAGAACAATCATCAAATTCACGGAAACCTAGCATATCACATAAAGTTTTTGGAATCGTGGAAACACTAGCACCCAAATCACACAAAACATGGCATTCATAATATTTAATATTAATCTTAATAGTAGGTTCCCACTCATCATAAAGTTTTCTAGGCATAGAAACTTCCAATTCAAGCTTTTCTTCAAAAGGTTGCATCATAGCATCAACAATATGTTTAGTAAAAGCTTTGTTTTGATTATAAGCATAAGGAGAATTTAACATGGATTTGAACAAGGAAATACAATCTATTGAAGAAAAATTATGATAATTAAATTCCTTGAAATCCAAAAGAGTGGGTTCATTGCTACCTAAAGTTTTCACCTCTCCAATCCCACTTTTATCAATTTTTGCATCAAGATCTAAAAACTCCGAATCATTGGGACGCCTTTAACTAAAGTTGACTCATATCCAGTCCCATATTTATCAAGATTTATATTATAAAACAAATATTGAATAGGAGTCACATCAATAACTTCAAGATCTTCAGCATTATTTTCACAGAAACTAGAAGAACACGCCCTTACAAACCAATCTCGTTTAGCACACATCTTCGTGGTTCTTTCTTTGCATTCATCAATGGAAATTCTCATATCTTTGAGAGACTCATTAATATCATGCTTGGGTGGAATAGATCTAAGTTTCAAAGAATCATGATCAAGAGAAATTCTATCCATGTTCCTAGCCAAATCGTCAATCTTTAGCAATTTTTCTTCAATCAAAGCATTGAAATTCTTTTGCGGACTCATAAATTCTTTAATAGTATTTTCAAAACTAGAGGGCATCTTATTAAAATTTCCATAAGAATTGTTGTAGGAATTTAAATAATTATTAGAGGTATTACTAGGAAACGTCCTAGGATTAAAATTACCTCTATACGCGTTATTACCAAAATTGTTCCTACCAACAAAATTCACATCCATAGATTCATTATTATTTTCAATCAAAGTAGACAAAGGAATACCATTAGGATCAATAAAAGCACTCTTGCTAGCAAACAGTTGTCACACCCTAGCTAGTTCATGCATTAGAGTGTTGCATCATGTTTATTCTTTCATCAGAAACCTGAAATGGGGATGACAGAACCCCCAGCCCCCTCTGAAACCAACTAGGGTTTACTAAAAACTTTTTCAATGAACCTGAAATGCCCTTCTAAAATGCCCACCATTTTTGTCTTGGTTCAGAACCTCTGCCAAAAGTGATGCACATTTTCCTAGGTCATCTTAGGGTCTTTGAATTAAATCATAGATATTTGAATTTGGGCATTTAAAATTATATAAAATATTCAGATGCTCAAATATCTCCAAACTAAAATGTTTCATGTTGGAAATAATCCAACTATGGACCAGGAGTAGTTTGGTGATTTTAGGAGTTGCCTAAGTATTTTTAATAAGTCAACAAAGTTGCAGAAGTATTAAAAAAACAGAAAACAGTAGAAATAACAAAAAACCTACCTGGCGCCCAGCACCCGGCCCACCTGCCGGCCCAGCCCAGCACTGCTCCAGCGAGCTGCTTGCCGGCCAGGCAGGCAGGCAGGTGCCCGACGGCGACCGCAGCGCGTGCCACGCAGCTGGCCGTCGCCCTGCTTCACCTCCTCCCCTCGGGGCTGGATGGATGAGCTCCACGCTGCGCCGTGAACCTCCAGGACACCTCCATTCTCCCCCAACTCCTCTCTCTCGCGCTCCCCCGCCATGGCCGACGCCATCGCCGCCACCCCCTCGTTGTAGCCACGCCCTCCGTCAACCCCACGCCGTGCCGCCGTGTCCAGGAGCTCCGCTACC